GAATGGAATTATCTTTCTTTTATGGTAAGCACTTATTTCCTGAACAGTATGGCTCTTTTTACTACAGTGGTATCTAGAAATGAAGACCTGTACACTGGGTGTACTCAATGCTATTGGCGTGTCACTGTTTCCCAGCCCTCTCAGAAGTAAGAGCTGAGACACATGTAAATGTGTATCTATCCATGCACATGTACAATACAACTATTCCTGTAGTTTTAAACTAAATGACCCCACAATGATATCTCAGACTCTAACTAGTGCCCTGTGGTTAACTGAGTAATCCCAGATTCCAGAGCTTCCTCCTATTATGTAGCATACTCATAAACTGTTTTTCTTATTAGCAGGTATTTCATTAAATTTCTAGCATTAGTCACATTGAAACAGGAAAGTAAAATACATTTCAAAAGAATTCACAACAGATCATCCTATGTTAATACTTCCTACTTAACTTTTACCTACTTTTTAAAGCAGGTTCTATTTTTTTGAAAAATCATTCTCTAGGGGGCTGGGGATCTAGCTCAGTGGCATAAACGCCTGCCTTGCAAGCGCGCAGTCATGAGTTCGATCCCTGGTACCGATTAAAAAAAAAAAGTCATTCTCTTATGAAAAAGACAAAAATTATTGCTTACTATAATCCGTCAATATACAATTTTAGAGTGGAAAAGGCAGAGAAATTATATGATCTGCCCAGCATCATACTGCAAACAAAAGGCAACACTGGAGCTTGACTGCACTTAGACACAGTTATTGTGATTTGAATTGCCACAGCAGGTACTACATTCCACTATTGGTTATTTTTTTTTAAAGCAATTCATTAAAAAGAAAGAAGTGACCTTTCATAAATTCAATTCCCTACTATAGCTTTTCTGTTATCAGAGATAAAAAGCCCTTACAGTACAGTGCCTTCACTGAAATTAACAGAACCAAGTATATACTTGTCTTACTTTCTCCTTGCCAAGACAAAATTCCCAACACCCAAAATTAAAAGAAGAAAAGTAACTGGGTGTGGTGATTCACGCCTATAATTTTAGCATTTGGGAGGCTAAAGCAAGAGCATCACTGCAAAGCCAACCCGGGCTACTAAGTGAGTTCAAGGCCAGCCTGAGCTACATAGCAAGAGACTGTTTCAAAAAGACACAAAGACAACAAAAAGAAGATAAAGATGAAGAAGACAAAGACAGAGAAGGAGGAGAAAGAGGAGAAGGACAAGGGGCCATCTAGGCATAATCCATAGCATTCCTTTCCTTGGCTGAGTGTGGTAGCACATGCTTATAATCCCAGCACTTGGAAGGCTGAGTCAAGAGGATCACTGCAAATTCCAGGTAAGCCTGGGTTACACGATGAGTTCAAAGCCACCCTAAACTGAATAGCAAAAAGTGCTCTCAAAAAAAAAAAGAAAAGAAAAGAAAAAATACAGTTCCTTCTTGGTCTCCAAAGATTCATGCATATTCCTTTATACTAAAGACATTTAGTCCATCTCCAAGAGTTGCCAAAGTCCTAACAGTTTCAGCATTGCTGAAAAGTCCAAGTCCAAACTTTCCTCTGAGATTTAAAGCAAATTCTTAGTTGCAAACTCCTGTACAAATGAAAAGAAAGCTAAGCACGTTCAACATTCAGTGACTCAGTACAGACATTTCCATTTCAGAAGTTAGAAACAGGGATAGAAAAAAATGGAAAAAGCAAAACCAAAATCCAGCAGAGCAAACATTAAACCCTATACTTTCCTGTCCAGCATCCTTAGCAACCTGTGGCAAGTTATGAACTCCAAAGGGCCAGAATGACTCCAACCCTACAGCACTGACAAGGGTTGTAGCTCTCACAGTTTCTCCTTTGGGCTAGCTTTGCTCCCTTCCTTTCAGTTCCTCAATCTAAATTCCTGGCTTCTCCAAATTTCTAGGGTCTCCACTCAATCTTCAGTTTAACACCCGCGGCTTTACACTCTCAAGTGCACATTGCCTGGCCTCCCAATCTTCTGAAATATGGGTGGAAGCCCTCCTGACTCCTCTTGATTCTATGGTATAATGCCAAGGTCTGATGCCAGCTAGAGCAGTAGCCAGGCCTTCCCTCTCAACTACAGGGGTTGAGTGCACTCCCTCAATCAGTTGATTGCTGAGCACTCTGAATCCAATTCCAAGGAATGAATTCTCTAGGCCATGTCAGTTCTGGATCATGGTGCTCTGGGGCTCTTTTCTCAAAACAAAATCTTTCACTTTCGCAATTTTGAGGCTTGTAAAGGGTGAAGTTTGCTGATTCTTGTAAAGTCCTCAAGCCATCTTTTCTATTATCCTCTTCTGAAATACGTGCCTTTTTCTTCCTAGTCTTTTTATCGACCAATTTCTCCTCTGTTCCACCTTTGCAAGTCACAACTTTACCAGAGCTTCCTTTCTGGCCAAACTCACATTTTAAATCATTCTGCTGGGCTCTTTGCCCTTGACTCTCAGTATAAATCTGGCTAAAAGTTCTCAACAGTAGCCATACAACAGCTTCAATTTTCAGACTATCTGGAAACTTCTGCTAGATTAATTAATCTGCTACCATTAATCTCAGTCTCAAAATGAGCAAAATGCAAACAAATTGTTTGCGAAGGCGTAACACACATTGTGTAGAGTACAACAACCACTGCAATCCTTCCAGCAGAAATCTGGGCTAGTTCTTTGCCAGCAGTACTTTATCAGCATTTTGGTCTTCTGAGCTGTGATCAGTTTCCCATCAAGCACAGCTTTAAGCTTTCCACAGCTGCTTCTTCAGCCAGCATCTCCAGACTTTTCCAAACTCTTCCCACAGGCGAGTTCCAAATATTCCTGAACCACATGGTCTGGTACAATCACAGTAATGACCTCATTCTTGGTACCAAATTCTATCTTAATTACTTTTATCTTGTGGCTGAGACAAAATACCCAACACCAAAAGTAAATAGAGACTGTAGGGTTGGAGTCATCCTGGCCCTTTGGAGTTCATAACTTGCCACAGGTTGCTAAGGATGCTGGACAGGAAACTATAGGGTTTAATGTTTGCTCTGCTGGATTTTGGTTTTGCTTTTTACATTTTTTTCTATCCCCGTTTCTAACTTTATTTAGCATACAGTTTGTAGAGTTTTCAGTTCATAGTTGGTTAGCTCCAAGACAGAGTGGCATCAGAGGAGAAACAGTTCGTGATGGGCAAAGGCAGTAAAGTATCTTACGATGTGAATCTAGATGCCCCCTCAAAACATCATGCAGTCATGGAGGTGGGCTTCTAGAATGTGTGAATGACTCATGGTCCAATGCTCCAATGCTGGGATTATGGGTGTGACTGCTCTACTCAAGTGGCTATGGCCTACATATGATATAAAGGTTAGAAGAGTCTTTTTTCCCCCTTTTGCTCTTGTTGCTCGTGCTGTTTTCCATAGCCATGAATTGCCTCCCTCTGCCACGTACCACTCTGCCTTGGAGCTGGCTGATTATGGACAAACTGTGAACTACATAAACCTCCATAAACTGAACTAAATAAACCTTTCTTTAACTTTGGGTGTTAGGTATTTTTGTCTCAGCATTGAGAAAAAGCAACCAAGACAAGTAGTGAAGAAGTAAAACAGCAAGCAACAAGTGGCACCAGCCCTCTTTCTGTCCGTTATATTTTATCTACACTACCTACTCTTATGGCAGGCAGCACTCCCATCCATGATGGGGCACCCTTTAATTTTACCCAGACCTATGCCAAACCAGTTAGTGGAATAATTTAGTCATCGCACACCTTTAATCCCAACATCACACATTCTAGACCCAGTCTCCTCTGAAAAGTCCCACCTATGACTGCATAAGGCATTGAGGGAACATCTAGACACAAGCCATAGTGTTCATTTTTCGCAGTAAAACTACAATTAAAATACACAAAATATTCAGAAAATATAAACTAAGCATACATGCTGTGCAGTATTCTGCTCATTACTATCATGCAAGCTGAAAAAACAAATGACAATCAAATTCCAGCCCACATCCCAAACTCAATGTGATGAAACCAGATGTTTTTTTTAAAGCCCAATAAAAGGAAAATACCACAGCACCATAGTATTTATAAGTGATGTATATAAATATACAGACACTCTTTCCTTTGTACCCAACCAACGAAGAATTTTATTACTTTTTACTAGATTTAAGAGTCATCCCCTACCATTCACACCACCATCATCACCACAAGACTGAACCTAGGGTCTTTCCACTAAGTTATATATACCTATCCTACCACCTTTTTCTTTTTTCCCACTTTTTACCTTTTAAGATAGTCCCTAAAATACCCAGGCTATACTCAAACTTTCAATCTCCTGACTCAGCCTCCCAGAGTGGTGTGATTACAGAAGTGCAACACCTCAGTCGACAAGTTTAAGAGTCTTAAAGACTGTTTCTAACAGAAATAATTAGAATATTTACTGAAAAAGGGTTGTACCAGTTGTTACTTCAGTAGATAATTGCTGCAATGCTGAAACTTAAAAAGTATGATCTAAGATACTCTGAGCAGGTCTAGAGAAGCAACAAAATACAATAAAAGGCATGTCAGGCAACACGTACATATATTTCATTAGTTATCTGATGGTGGGCAAATCACTTAACTTTCCCATCGAAATGTCATCATACTTTAAGTGAGGTATTTAAACAGGGTATTATCTACCCTACTGAAATTCACAAAATTAGCACAGGCTCAAATGAGAAGGTGTATAGCAAAGCTACTTCATAAATTACAAAGCACTACCCAAATACAAACTATTTGTATTTCAAAAAAATTGGCAGACAGGTAGATATATAAACTAATGTAACACATAAATACATATGTAAATATAGTGTTGCTATCTAGCAGACACCAAGCAATAATCAAATCCATTATAGTTATTTGGATCTCATTCTTCTTAAATTCTAGAGTAAAATATTATCAAAAATATTTTCATATACAGTACATGTGCTTATTTGTTAATATATAAAGTGGAATTCTATGAAGCAACGGCTAGAAATTTAACTGAAAATCCTTACCTTAACAAAATTATCAGGGAACATTCCTCTTCTTCCATTTAGTTCTCCTTCCAGCCATCCTTCTTCCTGTAGTTTTTTCACATTCCTGATGACTTCCCCAACTCGAATAGTTAATTCATCATCATGAACAGCATCATAGTCATACTCCACGATATAGTCAACTAAAAAAGGGAAGAAAATGTGAAAAGTCTAATCCACAAAATACTATAGACTTAATAAACTTAGAACTATAGGATCTAGTTAGCCAGTACACTAAAGTTATCATCAAGGCTTGTCTCAATTTTAAATATCTGGCTATATTAGCGATTTTCATTATCTTAGTATAGAGAACAATGCTGCTTTTAAGTGGGAGCTTCAAAAGAAATACAAAGCATAATTCATCCCACTATATGTTCTTACAGTGAGATGTATACCATTTGTAGCAGACAGACTCTGAAGTAATACCCATGACCTCACCCACCTCCATATTCGTATCCTTGTAGAATTCCTTCTCTTGGGAGTATGGATATGACATATGCCTGACTTATAAACAACAAGATATTCAGAGATCATGCACTGCATCTGATTAGTAGGACTATAATATCCCTCTTGCTTTAGGTAGGACTTGAGTTTTATTATGGAATTAGTATGATGGTTCAGAAGCTGGCCATTGCTATGGGTGACCTTAAGTTTCTCAGTGTTATTTTTCCGAGAAACCAGCATTCATTTAGTGGTCTTCTCTCTTGCTGGCTTTGAAGGTATTTGCTGCTTGGAAGCAAAGTCCATGAGCAAGTAAGGAATGGAAAGAGATCCCTGGAGACTCAAGCCAACAACAGAAAGGAACTAAAGAATGTCAACAACAAAAGCTTTCCCCACTAAATCCCCCATGAGAACCAACTCCTTGTCAATACCTTCACTGCAGTCTTATGAATGACCCAGCTAACCAAGCCTAGACCCAATACTTCTCAAATACTAAGTACAATCAAATCATTCTAATTTGGAATCTTGTTTAAATGCAGACTTTGCGTAAATGTACAGTAGCTAATACTGTGGGTCAAAGAAATAAAAGTCCTGAAAGAGTTCATTTTATAGAAATTCCAATGATATGCTACTACATACACCAGAGTTGTTTTTTTTTTTTTTTTTTTTTTTTTGTCTTGTCTTTTTGAGACAAGATCTCGCAATGCAGTACAGGCTGGCCTTGAGCTCATTTTGTAGCCCAGGCTGGTCTCGAACTCTCAACGATCCTCCTGCCTCAGCCTCCCGAGTGCTGGGATTACAGGCGTGAGCCACCACGCTAGGCTCAGAGAATGGTTTTCAATCAGGCAGAGGATAAATGAAGTCTAACGTTCCTTTTGATGTTTTTATTTGACCTCAAAAACAAAATCAACCCGATTGTAATACTTTTAGATTTGTTACACAAAGTAGTATTTTAAAGTAAATTTTATCTCTATTTGCAGCTTTAAAAAAAAACCTAATATGTTTTGAGGCAAAATAAAAATCCCAATTTTCTAAAAATGGATTCATTGCTGATGAAGCCAGGAAAAAGCTTAGAGAACGTAAAGGAGCTATAACTGAAGTACCAAATTGCTCGGTAGAACCTCAGAGGACTAGATGTTCAGAATAAGTAGGCTCATGTAAAACACAGAGCTTAAAAATAGTCTCACTAAGGAAGAGCTCTGATCACCATAACCAAACCACAATATAACCCTATAAAATAAAATGCTAAGTAGGCATTTTTCTCCCCAAGGTTAAAACAAAAACAAAAACCTGACACACTAATCAAACAACTGAACCAATTAAGAGGAAACTAGTACAGCTATAGTAGTATAAATGAATGCTGGTTTCTCAGAAAAATAACACTGAGAAACTTAAGGTCACCCATAGCAATGGCCAGCTTCTGAACCATCATACTAATTCCATAATAAAACTCAAGTCCTACCTAAATAATGAGAGTTCTTTGTAAGGACTTGTTTGCTGTTTTTCTGGTACTAGGGCCTTCACACTGATATAAATCTCAGCACAATTCCCTTCTTTTCTCCTTTTAACATAAGGTCTCACTAAGTTGCCCAGACTAGGCTTAAATTTGCAACGCTCCTGCCTCAGACTCCCAGTATTTGGACTGCAGGCATGTGTCCCCATGCTTAAGCAGCTCAATAAGCTTTTTATTTATATAATTATTCATAAATATAAGCAAACAATAGTTTATCATGAAAAACTATTCCCAGAATGGGGAGTCAGAGCCTAAGCAGAGCAAGGGTAAAGGAATGATAGCAAAGATGGGATACTTACTGATGCCCATCCAAGGTTACATCTACAGAAATTAAGAAAATATATTAAGGATGATGGGAGTCAAGTTTCTCTAAATTGAAGATAAGACACATAAACAAATACAAACATATAAATACAAATATAAAAGGAGAAAGACACATTCTGTGATACTGAACTGTAATAAGTATCAGCATGAATTCAGTTTTAATAAAAAAGTAAACAGATGTAAATATCTGTGTGTATATATATCTATTTGTATACATATACAAACATAAACATATTCATATAACAATACACACAAATGCTGTAGTCCACACTGACCTGAATCAGCCACATGCTAAGGGCAATAACCAAATCAAATGACAAGATTCTATTAACACCACTTTTTACAAAAAGAAATCAAAATTCTTTGAGGAATTTTGGCGAGTCATAATGCTAGGCAGGAAAAGTATAAAATAAGCCTGAAACATCATGTTGTGCCGAGAAGTAAGGAAGGAAGTCATCCATGAATCATTATCAAACAGATAACGAGAAATGGTATCAAAGGGTGCCTACTGACCAACTTAGGATAATATGAGCATCAAAATAATGAAATTAACAAAATAATCCTAACTAAAAGACTTGGTAGAATACACATTTCCACATACAGTAAAAGTTCACAACAAGAATAAAACAATCCGGCTGGGGATTTAGCTCAGCGGCATAAGCACCTGCCTTGCAAGCACGTAGTCATAGTTCGATTCCTGGTACTTATTTAAAAAAAAAAAAAAAAAAAAAAGAACAGAACAATCCTAAAGTCACGTTTGGTCGTGCACATCTATAATCCCAGCACTCAGGAAACTGAGGCAGAAGTATCACAACTGCAAAGTCAGTACAGACTACATAGGTACTTTGAGGCCAGCGTGGACCAAAAAAAAAAAAAGCTAGAAAAAGATTTTTAAATATCTGTGACAGTATTTAAAAAGTTCACCCATAAAAGAATGAAACCCAAATGAGAAAACTTAACCCATGTATATCTGTAATCTCATACTCAGGATGCTGAAGCAGAAAAGGCACCTTGAATCAGTTTCAGCTACATAATGAGTTCAAGGCCACCATGGACTATGTGACAACACCCTGTCTCGAAAGATAGAAAGAAAGAAAGAAAGAAAGAAAGAAAGAAAGAAAGAAAGAAATGAACAAGCTTGTTATTAGCAACATCAATTTCTAGGGGGGAAAATTCACTTAAGTACTAAAGAAAAATCAGTCTTTCCACTCTGCCAAATCACTAGGCAGGCATGTGGGCAAAGAAAAAGAAAATTAACTCCCATATAGAAAGATGCACGATATTATCCAATAAAGTAAAAGCATGGAAAAAACCAGAAAGACACAATCCAAGAAACAGTGGAGCAATCATGGTAAGATAAGAAGTGCTAAAACAGCACTTCAGCAACAAATCTAAGAAACAATTCAGACGAAAAGGAAACAAAAAGCTTTGGGGCATATCTGAGGGCAAAGAGACAGACTAAAATTTTGTACTATCCTTAACTCAGAAGCAAGAAGGCCAGACAGAAAAGAAACATTAAGAATGCTGAAAATACAATCATATACTACTTGGTTTCATAGTGAAAAATACCTAGATGGTCATAATAATGTAGAAACTATTTTAATAGTTAAAATCAAATTAATTTATAACAAAACAGATGGACTTACTTGTGGTTGTGAAAAAAATGTAAATTTTTTTTTTTTACTTTTTTTTTTTTTTTTTATCGGTACCAGGGATTGAACTCATGACCACCCGCTTGCAAAACAGGCACTTATGCTGCTGAGCTAAATCCCCAGCCCCCAAAAATGTAAATTTTAGCCATTACAAAGGCTAAGAATCCTTTAACATAATTGGGAGAGTAGAGTTGCCAACTAGAGGTACTATCATGTTTATCACACAAAGTGCCAAGCCAGAAATATAATACATATTAACTGCTGGAAAAATAAGTGTGTATCTCTTAGGGACCGAGGATATAGCTCAGTGGCATTAGTGCTTGGCAACTGCAAGGTCATGAGTTCGATTCCTGGTACCAAAACAAAACAAGAAACAAAAAGAAAGAAAGAAAGAAAGAAAGAAAGAAAAAAAGAAAGAAAGAAAGAAAGAAAGAAAGAAAGAAAAAAAGAAAGAAAGAAAGAAAGAAAGAAAGAATACATCTCTTAATTTCATAAGAGAATTGGACCAATCTTTTGGATAAAATGGAAAAGATATGAAGTTATAACTAAATATCACATTATCAAGATTTGAAAAAAGTTAAAATCAACAGCAAAAACACATTTAGAAATATGAAAGTCAAAAATCTTAGAACAAGTACATGTTTCCCTCTGGAGAATGAGCAAAGAACAATATATCAGTTTTGCATTTAAATCAAGTATATATCTTTGTATTTCTATTATACAGAGCTGTAACTTAAATTTTTTTACAAAGCAGTAAATAGTAAAGCAATTTGTTAAATATTATGGCAAAAGTATTTGTAACATGATTTCATTGTGTCAAAAACCTCATTGATTTAAATAAAATCCATTTCTTTTCTCATAGGCAAAAATCATGGTAAATAAGGTTAAATTCTTATTCCTTTAATTTCATTTAGTAAGCTTGTAATTATATTTAATTTAAAAGATTATAAAACATGTATGGTAACACACTTTTGTGAGAAGAAAAGTATCATAGAAAAGTGTCAGCTCTTAGGAGCCTGAGGTAGGAAGATCACCCAATAAGTTCAAGGCAACTCTGAAATACATAGTGAATTTAAGGCCAGCCTGAACTACATAACAAGACCCTATCTCAAAACAGAAGTGCCTAAAGAGCTACATTCAAAATGTTCACTGAAGTCCCCACAGTAAACTTAGTGAGATACTGTCTCAAACTTTTTTTTTTTTTTTTAATTTC